GTGCTCACTGCCACGACTTCCTCAGGAGAAGAGGGCTCTGTAAACCAGTCGGCGTCAGGAACATCCTCCGAGGGAACTCAAAGTGTTCATGGCGCTTCTTCGTCTGATTTTAACCCAACAGTGGGTACAGGAGCTGGAGGTAAAACGCAGGAAGATGAACCACACAAAACTCCTGCGGGTAATGTCAACGCAGCAGATGCAAACGCTCCTACAACTATGGGCGAGGGACGAGAGGGACCCGCAGTGAATCTTGAGGCAAGCGCGCGCTCTGGTGGGAATGGGGAGACGGCGGGAGGAAAGAACGGGCAGGAAGAGAAGCAGATCCATCCACACGACGGGGAAGCCAATGCCACGGCACTCAGCAGCAGCCTCGGAAATGCGTCGCAGGGAAATAACAACGATGCTGGCACCATGCGTGAGAGCGGAATGGTGCTGCCGCTGCTGCTTCTGTTGGGACTGTGGGGGTTTGCGGCTCTGTGAGGAGTGACTGGCTGCCGCGTGGGACACTTGCGACCTCCCCTGCAAAGAATTACTTCCAAGAGCTAACTTTTTCCTTAAGATAATTTTCCTTTTTTGCTTTTTGTTTGTAATTCATCAAATTTTTTTTTTTTTTTACGTGCTTTTTTTTTTTTTGTAATGTTTTAGTTCTTATTAATTTTTAAATTCTTTAAAATTCTTTTCTGTTTTCTTTTTTTTTAATTACCGACTCCCCCATCTTTCTTTTTTGCTTTTGGGGGCAATCACTATGGGCGTTTTTTTTTCCACTCTTCCCTCTTTTAATTGTTTCTTGCTGCACTCTTCCTGTGAGGGGTGCCGTGTGTTTCTCGCCCAACTGCTCCACTCGCACACCCACCGACACGCTCATGACGACGGCCCTGTGCGCCTCGCCTGCTGCACGCATGAGGAGGGGCCGCGACGAACGGCGCGCTGAGGGAGCCGTGACGTGTGGGCGTACGACGAGGGCCTGTGGGGCGGAGCACACATTTCCTTCCCTCTTGTTTTGTTTTCTTTGCGGCGAGGGCGGGCAGACACCCGCAGCGACACACACACATCCCCACACCCTGCCGCCGTGTTTTTCTTTCATTTTTTATTTTTGTTTTCTTTTCGTTTTGTGTGTGCTGCCACCGTGCGTGATTGTTGAGTTTGGGGCCGTACCGCATGTATCGCTGCCATCCAGCTGTGCCTCTTGCTGTGCTGATGTGCCTCCCTGTGCTCCTCTTCTCTTCTGCTCCTCCATCACACATAAGTATTTACACAGTGCACTGCAGGAATGCTCTTTCTATTTTGCTGGAGGCCGGCTGACGCGGCTGCACGATGCCCGCCATGTGTGAAGGTGCTGCCTGCTCTTGGGGTCATTCTTTTCTCCTCTTTGGTTTTGCTCTGCCGGGTGCGGGCGTTGCTCGGTGTGTGCTGGCGCGTGACGGACGGTGCCACGATGGCCTCCTCTGGCGATAACAGTTGCTGTGCTCTCGACACACATCCACACATTTTTTATTGTCTTTCTGTGGGAGTGATTGCGGCAGGGCATTGCTGCGAGCGTGATGGGGACCACGACGGCGTCACCCCTCGAGAAGGTCCCACGCTTTGTTGTTTGTGGAGTGGCGAGGCGGTTTGCCTGCGGCTCAACTGACAGAACCGCACCGTCGTTTCATTGCGGTCACTCCGTCGGCATCACCCGCTGCGGTGGTGTCCGCAGGAGCCGCAGCCCCGATGAGGATGGCCTCGTAGTTATCTGGCAGCTCAGAACTTCCAGCCCTTCGCTCTTCAGGATTGCCCTCGCTGCTCGACTGGCGCAGCACCAGACTGACACCGCTTTTCTGCATGAGTGCAGGCACCAAAGCGCCCTAGCGACGCGGCGCGTTGGCTGCAGTGACTTCCACCAGGCCTGCAGTGGTCGTGCTGGTGGCGTGGCCCTCTTGGTGCGCCACACCTTGCTGTGCGAGTGCCTGCTGCTCGTGGCACCAACTGCCTGGAGACCACTGCCTTCCGCGTGCGCCCACCGGCCAGCCCCAGCATGTACGTGGTGAACCTCTGCAGCCTTTTTCTGGCAATCGCTCACGCTGCTCAGTTTGCGAGCACCATTTGTCGCCCTGGTCCTGCAGCGCCTATTGCGGGCTACCTGAATTCACACCATGAGCTGCGTGACGGTCGCTCACGTCAACGACGGCAGGAGAGGACCTCGCCGCCACCCCAAGCGGCATGGAGTGTGAGCTGTCCGACGACCCGGCACAGGCAACGCGGATTAGCGGCCGCATCGTCTCGTTTCCCGACGTGACTGCGCAACGCGTACTGCGTGTCTCCCACTTGACGTCCAGCCGCTGCATGGAGTCGGACCACCATCTGCCATTGTATACTGCAGGGACGGAGGACGGCATCCCGCGACCGGCAGGCATGCTGCCACGACGGAAACATGCCGTCGTTGTCCTGCGTAAAGCCGACTGGAATGCTTCCACCTCGGCGTGTGGAACGCCTCTGGCCACTGTGACCACATGGTTGGAGATGCGCAAATGCACCATTCCGCGCGGCAGCCGTGACAGCCACTGGTGAACCTGGACGGTCAGAGTGGAGCAGGCCGAGTGTGTTGCAGCGGCAGCATGGAACGCGCACACAGCCTCACCGGGAGGCAGGCTGCCTCCAGCTGAAGATGTCCGCAAACGGGAGGACCGCAATAATGCCCTCTGCCGTAGCTTCTCCATGCTGCTTGTGGTCCGTGCGAAAGAGCTTGGTGCCCTCTCGAGCCCAGGCCTGTGTTGCCGCGAGGCATGGAGGCACCACGTCCCTGCCCTCTGGGATCGGCCGTGCTGCGGTAATGTTGGGACCGCGTTTGTGCTCTGTCTTGGCAGCAGGAAAATTCGCTCGTCTGTCACACTGTCCGAGTCGCACGTGCTGTGATCTCCAGTGCTGTCTGCACACTTTGTGCTTGCGTGCTCCCTGGTGACTGGGATATGGATGGGTCCTTCACGCCGTATGCGCTTGAATTCACCATCCGCCACTGTTTGCCTTGCTTGACCCCTGGCCCCGGCGGCGCATTGAATGTGTTTCTGCGCCATCTTGCACTCGCTGCCCGCTGACCGCTCCTCGCACAGAACGATGATCAGCACCTCCCTCACTGACGGCAACCTGCGAATTTCCTGGGAAACGGGGACACCACTCCCTTCTGCAAACACGGGAAGGACACATGCCGCACGGAGAGAGTTGTTGGCCAATCCCGCTGCTCTCTGTCCTGCTAGGGGTGAGCGAAGGACTGGTTCACCGCCACCAGTCTGTATCCACGCCACGACGCGCGGTGACTGTACGGAGTTGTGTGGGCGATGGTGTCACTGACTTTATTGCGTCTGCGCGGCTTTGTTTCGGCGGCTGTACTGTGGTGGGGATTGTGTATGACCGGATGCCTCTGCGTGCCACTGTGTTTGGTTACTGTGGTTGCTTCCTTTTGTTCCTTTTCTGGCCGTGCAGTTAGAGATACTTTTGCTTTACCAGCACAACTATCGTTTCAAGGTGTTAGGGATTACTCGCAGTATTAGGTTTAGAATTAGTGGGATAACGACCTATCGGAATCGTGTATCTGGATTTACCATCTGTAGAAAGGGATTTGATAGACAGGAGGGATGGTTGACGGGGCGAGTGCGACACACCACGAGAGCCCTGCTGATACGTGTCTGGGTCGGTGGATGCGGTCTTCGGTGGGTGCGTGTCCGCGCAGCCGGCACCGTGTGCGGAGCAGGGCCATTGCGGCTGTGCGTGTGGCGCTTCTTTTGGTGTTGGCGCTGGTCGCGGCGGCGGCATGGATGCCCGCGGTGCATGCGGTGGTGTTGCGACTGCGGGGCGGTACGGTGGACAGAGCCATCACGGTTGGCCGCGCCGTGGACACGGTGCTGATGGACGGCGTTTCCATCACGAACGGCGTGGCTGTGGTGTTCGACGTTGCGGCGATGCTCCCCGGTGCGCTGCGCATCGAATTGAGGAACTGCGTGTGCGATGGCGGTGCGCAGCTCTACGTGCGGGGCTACAGCGGCGAGCCGGCGAGTGACCGGAGCCTGGAGGTGAGCGTGAGCGGGCTGTCTGGGAGCTACTGCTCGCTTGTGTTTGTGCACAACCTGCCGGCACACACGAACGTGACGGTCCGTGACTCGACGATTGTGACGCCGGGGCCGATGCGCTTCTCCCAGCTGAGCGGGCTGACGGACGCGGTGGCGTCGCCGCTTGTGCTGCACGCGACGTCGCTGTTGCAGACGCAGCTGCGTGTGAGCAACACTGTGCTGAGGTCGTCGCACGTGGGCGGGTCGGCGGTGTATGTTGGCGGCGGTGTGGACCTGCTGTCGAGCGCGGTGGTGCTTGACGGCGTGTCGCTGGAGGCGTCGGGCGGTCCGACCGCGTCCGCGATGCATGTGGCGTCCTCGTCGCGCCTCAGTCTGCGGAGCCACTCGGTGTTCTCCGTGACGAACGTGTCGGTTGTGAGCAGCAGCGGCGGCGGCATTGTGCTTGGCGAGCGCCTCGCGGTGTTTGATTCAGTGCTGCGCTTCGTGGGCGTCGAGGGGTCTGTTGAGTCGTCGCTGGTGCGCTGCGACGGTGGGACGGTCGGTGGCGGCGGGTGGCTGGAGCTGCACGACGTGTGGGCGGTGGGCGAGGCGTCGTCGGTGGCGTCGCTGTCGGGGGTGACGCTCAGCGGCGGCACCGTGTCGATTGCGCGCTGCGCTGCCGCCGGCGCGACGCTTGTCTCCGGGCTGACGATCACGAGCGGCGTCGTGTGGGTGCAGTGCAACCGTGCTGGCGGCCGGGTGCTGCAGAGCAGCGGCGAATACCGCCTGGCCGGCCTGCCCTCCGTGAGCGTGGTGCCGTGCGACGGCTGTGCGGCTGCGCTGGCGTGCTTTGATGCACTGACGGCGTCCTTCTCCGAGTGCGTGTGCAGCTGCCGTGCCGGCGGCGTGGGCGAGGCGTGCCTGCCGTTTGACGTGCCGCTTGCGAGGGCCGGCGGCGGTGGTTCGGAGGGCTGCGTGAGTGGCGTGACGCTGACGGAGTCCGTGACGATTGGCGGTGGGCGTGCGACGGCGTGCTTCGACTCGGTGGTGTTCAGCGGGCCGATCATTGTGACGGTGGAGGTGCGCTTGATGGACGCGTTCGCTGACGCGCTGAACGTGACGCTGCGCCACTGCGTGCTTGCGGGCGGTGCGCAGCTGCGGATTGGCGGCCTCAGCGAGAGCACGGCGCGCCTGATGCCCCACGCTTTCGTCAACATGACGAACGTGACGTCGCTGGAGGGCACGATCGTGCTGCATGGCGCGATGCCGCTGCACTCGAGAGTGCTGCTGGCGAACTCAAAGCTGCGCGCGACGGTTGGCGGGTCGCAGTACGTGCCGACGACTCGTGGCCACGAGGGATTTCGGTACGGCCCCGCGCTAGTCCTGGACGGCGTCCGGCTTCTGTCGACGCGGTTTGTCATGACGCGGTCGACGCTGGTGTGTGGCGGGGGTTCGTGCGCT